CAGTAACATGAAGGCAAGGGAGAGATTCACGGAGATGTAGGCAGGAAGCCTGAGTATCATTGGACGCGACCAACCTCAGCCCAAACCATCACTGCTTTCACTGGGCCTTCCCTGATTCAGTTCTCTTTCTAGGTTTGGCCAAGGCAGGAGAGACAAAAAGGACAAAACGTTTTTGGAGGTGTCCCCCCCCCCCCCAGCCCTAGAGGTGCTGCCAGCCTTACACCAGCTAGTTGCTGGAAGGAATCCATAACCCTCCAGCAGTCAGACAGTCATTTGCCTGAAGAGATAAGAGACCTAGTGGAGATCAACACTGGGCTCAGGGTGTCACGATGGTCTGGGACTGACTGTACTAATTGGTTCTAATAGATCAGGGGCAGGAACTTTCTCCCAAAGCAAGATACCTGACTCTCAGATTGGCATTGGGGGGAAGGGGGATTGTGCAGGTAGAAAATAGGGGTTTCGATGAACCTGTCAGGGGTGGGGAATGCTGAGGGGGGTATAGGACAGGGATGGCAGTGGGTGGCTCAGAGGTAAAGCATTCACAGATGAATACAGTGACTGAGTAGGGGGTGCAGGGATCTTGGCATACAGTCTGCAAGTGAAAGGAATGATAATTACACATGCACACCCTTTAGTTCAAAAGCACCTATTTCCTAATTTTCCTTTCCCTTGAGCTATGCTGGAACATTAAACCTTCTATCCTATTTAAGTATCCCTGTTAGTCTGTAAGTAATTCCATTCAGAGTATACTCTCTGTTTCCTCTGACTTACTTTGCTTTTGAAAACTAGAGTTCCTTGGATGGGGGTCTTCTTTCACCAATGCTTCCTCCTGCTTGAACTTCAGTTCCAGGGCAAGGCAAGATGAAAGCAGTTATAAATTCCATTCCTCTAGGCCCCAACTCAATTCACCTTTAGTTTGAGGAGCTGAGTAAAGCAGAGGCAAAGGCTATACTCAACACTCAGATGTAGTTAGAAGCAAACTGAGGGAAAGGGAAGGTGGTGGCAGCGCGCACGTGCTCACAGGCATGTGTGGGTGGATAGGTAAGTAGAAGGATGTTCTAGGCAGCATGACCTGAGCATCATTTCCCTTTCTTTCTACTGTCCTGAACTCCAGGTTCCTTGATGCTTCAGACAGATACCCTAAGGACAGCAGGGGCAGGTTAGAGAGACAGTAGTGGCGCCAGAAGAAGAGCCCACACATAAAAGAATGCTCCCAGGAAGGGTGTGCTGGAGGTCAAGAGATCTCCATGTGGTGGGCCCTTCATCTCCCCTTTCCCTTTCCCATGTTCTTTGCCTTTTTCCTCCCCAGGAGAACTGTCAGAATGAGGAGATCCTGAACAGTCTCAAGCATGTCCGCCCTGGAGATGGATTCCAGCCCACCTTTACCCTTCTCCAGAAGTGTGAGGTGAATGGTGAGGACGAACACCCAGTCTTCGCCTACCTGAAGGAAAAGCTTCCCTACCCACATGATGACCCATCTTCCCTCATGACCGACCCCAAGTTCATCATTTGGAGCCCCGTGCGCCGCTCAGATGTGGCCTGGAACTTTGAGAAGTTCCTTATCGGGCCGGAGGGGGAGCCGTTCCGCCGCTACAGTCGCACCTTCCCTACCATCAACATTGAGCCCGACATCAAGCGCCTCCTCAAAGTTGCCATATAGGCAGGAGCTCAGCACACAGACCTCCTGCTCTGTCCAGCCCCCAGTATCTGTCCCGAGGATTCAGCACGCCTTCTTTGAAGTCTTGCTTTTCCGGTCTGCCTATTTCCTTTCCCTCCCCCAACCTTCTGGTTGGTGATTCAACGTGGGCCTCCAAAACCTGGGGGGGGCTCTGGGCTTTCACAGAATGATGGCACCTTCCTAAACCCGTAGGGACGGTGTCTGAAAAGTGTGAAGGGCCTGGGGCAACCTACTGCATGAGTCAATAAAAAAGGAAATAGCCAGGCTTTGTGTCTTCTTCCTTCACAAACAGTAGAGGGGTGGTTCACAATTGCAGGTGGGACAGAAGAGCTGGCCGTCTATAAGGCTTGAGAGTGAGGTGCTCTGGTGCAGGGGGCACCCTCATTACAGTCTGGAAAGAGGACTCTGGTCTGCGGGGCAGATGGAGTTGTGGGCAAGGTGAATTGTATTTTACTGAATGACTCTTCTCCAGAACTGGGGGGAAAGGAGCAATTAGGGGTGAAGAGGAGGAGACAGTGGGCCCTCGAGGGAGGTTAGAGGAATCTAGGCAGGAAACTTCACTATCACTTTGGTACTGGGCCAACTGAATATTATCTGCACCTTGAGACATTCCTGGGACATCTATTGGGTCACCAGTTACTGATAGCAAGGGTGTGGAGGCTGCACTTCCTGGGAACACAAGAGCACTTTATCCTTTCCTCATTCCTTGGTTGAGTAATATTTATTTTTGATCCTTTACTAGACTGACCCTTCCTCCTTTTTAAAGTGCACTTTCTTAAATTCATATATTCATAAATTCAGTCACAAGACAAACAAGCTGAGGCAGGAATGATTGGTTTCACTTGTTCTTCCATGAGGGTGGGGATGGGAGAGGTTTCCCTTCAGAACAGTCAGATTCTTTATAACGTGCCAACATGGTAGCCAGTCTCTGTGGGAACAGGGTTCTGCCCAGTGGCTCTGTAAAGACGGTGCCCTGGATTCCTCAGTAGTTCGGGCATGCTCAAAAAGCACCACTGCTGCCAAGGCCAGGTTCTATCAGGTTTTGGAAAAGACACCTGTTGCACGACCACTGCCCTATCTCTTTGTCGCACATCTTCCTGGAGCTTTCTCCCTTCACCTTTCCTACTGTGATGGGATATTTTCCTCTCCTCATTGAAGTCCTGAAGGGACAGTTCTCCAAACTCTTGAGAACCCCAACGCTGAGGGAGAAAGGCTTTGTCTACAATGGGCCTGGACCTATCTTCTAAGCACTTGCATCACCTGAGAAGTAAATGTGGAGAGGTTAAGGGCTCCCGGTCTGATCTTCAACTGAAACTATGTCACTGGCATTGCTTTCTTTCAAAAGGGAAACCTGAGCGTTATAGAGGGAGCCCCCTGGCATCCTTGTGCAGGGCCGTCTGCTAAATTAAGGCTGCCTTTAATTTGACTCTTAGAAACTCAAGTTTCCCACTTTTAAAGCCAACAGCTTGGGTACAAATCTAGGGGTGGGGGTAGGGCTAACCACTATTTTAGAGCAATAACTGCAGAGACAAATTGCTTTCTTAATGAAACACATAATTCACATTGGATGTTCGTGTGAGTTGTTTATCATCTTCACAGAGCTAAAACCTGTGGTAATGTTCAATAACCGAGCCAGCTAGTCCAGATGTTGGCGTTATGCCACAAGCAATTTGGGGCCTGATATATCATACCCTGTGTTGGGTAATTCCCATGAGCCTCAATTTGAAATAATTGCTTGGGACGCCCAAAAGAATGGCAATTATAGTATAAGTGATTTTGCAGGGAGGGTCTGACAGGGCTATAATGCTCAGAAGAGGGCTCCTTGCTTGGTGAGGAAAAAAGGTTTTTGCTTCAGAAGGGACCTCCCCAGTTTGGCTCAGGGAGGGAACAGGGAAGGCAGGACTGGAGGAACTTGTTTGACAAGGACATTTCACTTTACTAAATCTTCAGCTGTGCTGTCACTAAAAAATGAAAATGAGAGACTGTTTTTTATTCCTCATTTTTTTTTTTTTTGGTTCTCCTTTATATCTTCAAAAGTATTAGCTTATGGTCATAATCAGGCAAGGAACAGCTTAATATCATCACCTTCTTGCCTAGATCAACAAAATCTTTTAATTGAATTTCACTAGGGACACTCAGGAAGTAGGGGGAAGCCTCATAAACAAGCTTTCCCAGAAGGGTTGAAATGATGTTCCATTTAGAAGAGGGACAGAGAGAAACATTTCTCTGATGTCTCTTACCAAAACTTTAGTTCAGAATAAGTGATTTTAGGGGCTGTAGATACTTAGGCTGAAATGGATGGTTTTCTATCACTATGTTCTCACAGCTATGTCTTCAGTTTAAGAAACACTGAGCCAAATTACTGAACTTTTTTATAATCACCACAACCACCATCCAAATGGCCGTTTATTGAAGATTTACTATACTCACACTGTACTCAGTACTTTATATCTTCTAGGTTAGTTAGTCCTCAAAAACAACCCTATGAGGAATTTTTATATCCATTTAAAGGCAAGGCAATTGACTGAGACACTGCCAAGCACAAAGGTTAATAAGTAGCAGAGCTGAAAGTTAAACCCAGATCAGTGGCCCCCAGTGCTTCCTTCTTGCTCACAGCTGCTTTACACAGACCACTAACAGCTGCCTGCACACAGCACTGCACAATCTATAAATGCTTTCGCTTAACTTATATCATTTAATTTAAAAACTGTTTAGAGGCATGATTATTTTTACCTTTCCATCGAAGAAATCAAGGCACAGACAGAATGACTTGTCAAATGTCCCACTATTAGCAAGTCACAAAGCTAACTTTAGATCTGAATCTTTTGACTTTCTTTCTACTCAACTGTATCTCTCTCACAGGAGAGACTTGTACTATAGCCAAGAAACATACAATTGAAAATTGAGCCTCAATTTCAGTCAATAACTTAGCCTTGCTCACAAAACAGAATCAAACCAAAAGGATTCTTGATACATTGAAATAAAGAAGGGTGAACATATACTTCTTAGTGATGACTTGTAAGTAACAAACCAAACCTGGCTGTGCCTAAAATATATGTCAATTGATTAGTATTGGGAGAACCTACGGCCACTTGAGAAAGACAGAGCTAAACTAAAACAGTACAACAATAAACATGCTAAGCTTTTAACTCCAAGAGCCTAAGTAGGCACACCCCAGAGGTGTACATCATAGAGCAAGTTGAGAAAGAATGAGGTGCCAGGACAAGCCCACGGCCCAATTACATCTATAGGTGATTTCTTTCCCTTCTGTTATCTCAAGAAGGGAACTAAAGACTCATACTTTGTCTGGTTCCCCTTCAATTGAAAGAAAAATACAGATTCAGTATAACTGGATTTCAGAGGTCTTTATTCCACAGAAAAGTTCTAGAAGAAGTTAAAGAAAGTATCACAAACACAGCACAATGTTGGTTTAATAATTGAAATAGGGCCTCCCCGGTGGCACAGCATTTGAATGCTGGGCTGCGAAGCTGCCCGCAGCCTCTGCAGCGCCGGTTCAATCCTGGCCGCCAGGCGAGGGTCCACATGGCACGCAGACCTCTCCTGCTGCGCCTGCTGCTCCCCTCAGCAGTGTACTTCGTCAGTCTGCCTGTTCTGCTCCCCGCTCTGGCTCTGGTGAATTCTCTTACCTTCCCGCACTTTTGACTGTACCCAGCACTTGTATAAATAAATAAATCTTCAAAAAAAATTATGAAATATATGGCTAGGCTCTTATTGTAATATATAGTCCAAAAGAGATAATTACACATTCTTCAATAGATGAAGATATTGGTAGGAGCATATAAAATTGCCCTCATGAGCTCCAAATGACTGAATTGGAAACATTAGCAAACTCCAAGAAGGGACAATTCAGAGGCTGTAATGGGTTTAGTGCTGCTATTTAAAGTAATGAAGCATTTTCTCTGCTTTCTGGATTCATTTCACCAAATGATTTCCTCAGCAGGTCAGATATAGATTTGCAGAAGAGTAGAAAACATTTTCCAGGAAGAAAACAACTGATCCCTAAGGAGCAGCTGACTTAACTTTTCAGAATAATAAATACTGGTCTGACATGTCCAGATTCTTCAGAGTGCTGTCAATGATATTCTCAACCTCTTCTACCCTTGCCAGACCTTACACTTCATGTTTATTGAACACTAGAGCTAAGAGGGTTTAGGTTTACTATACTAGCTGTGTGACCTTAAGTTCCTTTACTTCTTTGTGCTTTGGTTTCTTTGGCTCTAAAGTTGGGATAACAACAGTATCTGCTTCATGGAGCTGTTTTTTTTTTTTTTAAAGATTTATTTTTATTTATTTATGCACACAAGAACTGGGGTGTAGGCCAGAGGTATGGGGAGGTGAGAGGATTCACCATAGACAGAGTGGGGAAAAGAACAGACAGATCTACTGAAATACACTGCTGAGGGGAGCAGTGGGGGAGGGAGGAGGGGTCCACCTCACCATGTGAGTTAGCTCCCTGTCCGGGGATGGAACTCAAGCTGCAGTAACTGGCAATAGCTTGATAATGTGGAGACTTAACCCCTTGCACTACCAGGGAGGCTCCTTCTTCATGGAGTTTTTAATAACGATTAAATAAGTGTTCACAAAGGCCTTGCACATAGTAAGTACTCAATAAACCTCAAATAGTATTCCTGTTACACAACAAAGCTTTTCCCTGGTATCAACAATGAACACTTCACTTTTTTCCGTATAAGCAAAGACTCAGCTCAATTTCCAAATCTCTTGAAAGTGATGGGGAAACAATTTTGTTTCTAGTGCTTGACCCTGTACAGTTTTGTCAGAGAGGCCTAGTTGTCCCACCTAATGTTTTTTCAACTATACAAGGTAAGATATTCTAAGATCTGTTTGGAGCAAGTGAAAACATTCTACTTAATTAAATTAACTAAAGTGCACACTTTATTCAGACTTCTCTAGTTTTTACAAAGGCCACTTTTCTGTCCCAGGACCCTATCCAAGATACCTCATTACATTTACTTGTCATTTCTTTAGGCTCTTTTTGGCTGTGAGAGGTTCTCAGACTTTCTTGTCTTCAAAGACTGTAATGGTTTTAAGTACTGGTCAGATAATGTCACTCAACTGAGATCTGTCTGATGTCTTTCTCATGATGAGGCCACAGTCATGGATTTGGGCGATGACATCCAGCAGTAAAGCCATTCTCATCACCTCCCATGAAGGGTACATACAAGGAACAAGTCTTATATTGCAGCTGTGATTCTTCAACCCCTCCTCCTCCAAAACCCCTCCTCCTTTGTCTCCTGGCCCCTGTTATTCTTAATCACCTGGCTGAGCTAGTGTTTATCAGGTTTCCCTACAATAAGGTTATTTTTTTCCTCTTTCTCTCCATACTGCACTTTTAGGAAGAAAAGTGACAATGCCCAGCCCACACAAAGGAGTGGAGAGTATTTACATACATTATTTGAAGTATGGGAGATTTATCTATTCTCTCCAATTTATGTATTAATATAAACTAACTTTGGCAGAGGAGCTCAGCTCTAGAGAGAACCCCCCAAATTACTTTTCCTTTCAAAGAATAGGTGAGTCTAAACAGAAAAAAAAAAAGTGAGTAATTTCCATTATAATCTACATAAAACAAGCCATGAGAATTGCTATACTGTAACCAAAACAACAGAATTACAACAGAACTGCAGGATTCTTAGAACAACAGAGTCATTTGTCGGGGGTCATCAGGGAGAATACTGATAGTATCTTCGGCTTTGCCGCATAACAGACACAGCATGGTATACTCCTAGAACAAGATAAAGTGCATAATTACCTTGAGGAACAGGGAGAAAGATGCTTTACTTACTCTGATAAAGCTGTTCTCTACAAGTTGTCATATTCTTTTTATACATTAGCTCAATCTCTTCGACCTCTACCAGTAATGTTTTAGGTCTATCCCAGAACCTTTCATTTATATAAATTGAATTCACAGTGATGCTCTACTTATCATGTGTACAAGAATGTCATGCTGGAAATGCGTGGTTATTTCTTGGGAGGAAAAAAACACATATATTGGGCTGAGTTAATGCTGCTAATTAAGGTAATAAAGCAACTTGAGTACAGGACCATAAAGACAAGTTCTTATCCTTAGAGTTGTTCCTTTCTGGGATATTTAACACTAGCATCCGATAGAAAGGATTCTAAAAACAAAACAAAACAAAACAAAAAAAAAGGAGAGCATTCCCTAACCAAAAAAGGTATATTTATCTACTCTAGGAAAGTAAATAATATGTGAAAGCCACTGTGTGTCTGCCTCATATTTAGATATCTAGTTGTCTCGAATTTGATCCATTTAAGTTTTATGTTTCTTGACTTAACAAACATCCAGACTAGTGACAGAAGAGATATTGTTTTAAGTAAAAATCCTTAGGGAAAAGTCCTATTTTTACAGCTGTCCCTCTCTAGAATATTTAATATAGTCATAAACTATAGATATCTTAAAACTTTAATTAAAACCTTTGTTTAAAAGTCTTTTATCTTCTTCATGAAAACAAACATCTATGTTTAATCTATTAGTATTTTCACACCTGACACTGAGATTGCTAACTATCTGGAAATTGATCGGTCAAGGCAGTTTGTGTTTCTTGGGTTTGAAGAGTCACTAGAGAGAGCATTACAGAGATAAATAATGACTATGGTAGAAAGACTCAGAACTAAGTGACTGCCTTTCCGTTTTGTACTAGTGAGGTCAGCAGGAGAACTTAGTTGTGGCAGGGAAAGAGTGCATAATTTTAAAGTCTACACACAGAGTGGAAATAAACGAAGTCTACAACTCAGCAAACAAAGTCTCATGAATTAAAAATAAAATAAAATTCCACCCTCTTCAAGGTCTTCCACTGCTCTTAAATACTTTTGCTTTCACCCACCAGACATCAATAGCAGAATCAACCTCTCACTGGAAATGAAGAAGAAATCATGTCAAAATGGGAAAAGGTATGAAACTAGACAAATATCTGAGTTCAACCAACCTATCTATTGGCAAGTTTTCATTAAGTGCTTACATGTGAGTGCTAGGTGCACCAGCAGACATGAGAGAAGGCAAGGGCAAGGTTTGACTTTGCAAAACTTACATTCTAACTTGGGAGAAAGAAAAAACCCAACACGTGGTGAAATCTGGGAAGATTATTAAATCAGTAAGGCTGATTACACCTATAATCTTTAATTAATAGGCAGGTTGGAACCCAAATTTCATTGGTTTCCCACAGAAGGAATGTTATACAGGGTAGTTTGCCTCCCAGGGAACTCCAGGGAGGTCTTTTAAATTGACATTGTAAAGAACCACAGACTGACTATACGCATCAGTGCTTCTGCAGAAAACATGTCTACAATTCTAACTTGGGATGCCAGAAACATAATCCCAGGAACATAACCCCCTTCTGTTTCCAGGAATATTATGGGATTAGGATACCTTTTACCAAAACTGGGCAAGTAGGGACAAGATTCCCCACCAGTCACTCAAGGAGACCTTCAAAGTCTCCTTGTGGGTAGAGATTTCGAAGCAAGGGTGAATGGAAGGAAAATTCTATGTTTTATTACCAGGGTCCCTTGGTCCTTTACCTGTATTACTACCTGTTAATTCTGACCCCAAGTCCTTGCCTTCCCTGGTCCACAGAGGACCAGAAAGCAACCTCACAGTTCCCCTCTTATTTCCTGAGGTAAATGCACAGACCTTTTAAGTGCTTTTGCTAGGGTGACAGGAAAAATAAAGGACACTTGTAATCATTTATAATGTATTTTCTGTTTAAATTCTGTACTTGTCACTATTTTCTCCTCCACCCTTACATCAGAAAATCCTACCTCATTCAACAATGGTATTGTTATCAAAATAGAATTCCTGTTTTTTCAGAGATATGTACTCAAATATTTATAGAGGTAGTGGCAGAGGTAGTAGTATGCTTGGGATTTGCTTCAAAATAATCCTGTGGGGAAGCATGGGAATGGTGAGGTACAAGTAAAGCAAACGGAAGCTGAGTAGTAAGAGTTAACATGCTACTCTGCCTACTTTTAGATTATATTTAAATGTCCCATAAGACTTCTGAAACAAAACATTGCAGTGGTGGGAATCCCACCTTAACCTGAACACCTGCTGGAGTAAGATGTGGGCTGGAGTAGGGAGAGAAGGGGAAGTAAATCAGAGCAGCTGAGAATGAAGAGCTCTTGTGATTATCACACTGAGATGAAGTTCCCAAGTGACTATTCACAAGAGTCAGAGGAATAAGAAGAGTTCAGAAAAGGGACAAATCAGTATGGGTTGGACTGTCAAGAGCAAAAAGGAGACAGAATTTAAGTTCAAACTGATAGAGGGGAGCTTTAGTTGGCTTGAAAGTAGAGAAAGGGACAAGTCAAGAGAAAAAAATAACATGATATGGAAAAGAGCAAGCATATCGCAGATGGAGGAGCAGAGTGACAGATGGCAAGTCTAGGAAAGATTAATTTGAGGGCAGTGTGTAAAACTACAGTTGGGGGCGGCTTCAGTAATTTAGGTTTGAGCGCTTACAGTCTTATTGTGAGGTGTGGCAGCGGAGTCAAAAATAAAAGGAAGTAAAACAAAAAAAGGCAGGCAGGTGAGGCATTAAGACAGAGGAAGCAATCTGGAAGATATTAGATAGGTTTCAATTGGGATTGAGTGTTCGTGTGCTCCCTATTTGAGGGAGTACAAAGAAGGCTTCAGACTAGAAACCAAAAACAGTTGAGGAAAGGAGGAAAGAAAACCAGAGCAAAGGCAAATGAGCAGGCAAAATGACTTAAAAAGAAAATAGTCGAGCACTGAAGACTGTAGGGGAACAAATGCTTCAAAAGGATAATAGTTATAAAAAACTAAATCCAGAAAAGATGTTAAGAGTGGTAGGAACTGAGGCAAGGTCACAAGATTTGGTTATGTTATATGAGAGACTAATTTGGTAAAGTGAAATGAAAATCAGTGTGTAGGTAGTTAAGAGGAACGTAGGGAAATAAGGGAAACACCTATTCAAATCAAGAAGCAAAAGGAGATTAGAAGATGGATTGTAAAGGCAGCTGAGTGAAATGAAAGGATTTTATTTTTTAACAAAGAAGAACTAAGTATATTTAATGTAATGTTTTAAATCCCACAGAGGAAAAGATGATGTAGAGAGATGTGGTATGAGATTCCTGAGGAAAGCACAGTAGGGCAGTATTAGAGAAGAGGGAATAAAAATCTTCCCCCAGATCAGGAGGGAGGAAGTGAGTCTAAAGCTGGGCATTGCTAAGTAAGTAGTACAGAGTCATGGGACATCGGAGACAGGAAGAGTAGGCCAGTCCAGCCAGAACCTGGGAATGAGGAGCTCAGATACTGCACTGCAGCTAAAGGCAAGCTATGAAAAGGCAATGAGATGGTCTGAAAGTATCATTTTAAGGAAGTCTGAGGAGAGAATACAGACTATGAGTGGGGGAAGTGGACAATGAGAGAGATGGCAGGGTAGAGTCTAGTTGAAGAGCTTTTTCAGAAGAATTTCACACTATCTAGGCATTGTATTTGCAAGTCATCTTCCTTCACCATCTTTTTTCTATCTCAGAATAACTTCTGGGCAGCTTTGAAAACAGCTTCAAAACATATGACTTATATTCAGTCATAAAGGAAAATCCGCTAGATTTTGGTCTCATGGTGTGATATGCAACAGCTCAATTAGGGTATAAACTGGCAATCCCAATTCTCCATTTAGGGACTCTAAAAAGTATACAGGAGCTTCTGGAAAACAGTGATAAGCATTTCGTTCCTCCCATGAAAAGACAGAATTCCTTCTTTGAGCCCACTAAAGGCACCTTATTTCAAACATTCCCCTATTTGGTCACATCTATTTCCTTGAGATCTCAATTTCCCTAAGTTACATACATCATACAAATATTTTTTGAAGCATAATTTTTGGATACTGAGGAGATATGGTCAAGATGTTGTTCAGATTAACCACAACATGTCAGATTCTGACAGGCGACTGAGTAGTTTCTTTCACACTAAAATAAAAATGAATGAGATTTTATGTATTTTTTACATCATTTTTCATTTTTGCACAATGTATGCATTTTCATATTGGTTATAGTCCCCATACAATTCCCACCCCTAAATAAATTTTTTAAAAAAATGAATGAGAGTGGTTATATGATTTTAAAAGAGTCTGTGATGGTAGACTTTTCCCACATCTGAAGAATTTAAAAGAAAGGTCTCTTTTTAATTAAAAGTTCTAATATGATATTTATATCCTATGCATCAACAAGTAGTTAACTATAAGTAACTCAATCTGAAGACGGGACAACAGTGGCAATGAGAGGCAGACTCAGGGTCCATGTCCCCAGGGTTTTCAGTTTGTCCCCCACCATCCAGCTTTTCTTCCTGACCTGTGACTCCTCAGAAACTTTAAGCCTAGAGCAGCCTTCTGTAGAATTCTTTGCATATTCTCACAAGTGTGTAAGGACTAATCCTTCTAAGCCCCTATTCTCTATCCTTATAGTGGTCCAGCTTCTCTCTCCCAATCTTGATACAATCATTTTGTTGTCTCACTAACAAATAACATTCAAATGTCTTACCACAATTAAGACAACAGAGTTGCTCATATCTACATGTGTACTAGGGAAAACAAAGATAATCTCCTCATCACAATTTCCATGTGTACCAGGTATGGTGACAGTGGGCACTTAAAGTCAACAATTGTGCAATCACATAACTGGATAGAGGAAAAAAGAGGTACAACAGTAACCTCAGAAGAAGCATAATGTGCTGTTCTTTATAAAGGTGACAGGACTAAGATGTCATTTATAAGACGCCACTTTTGATTTGTGACTCTTGTGAAAAAAGGATTATACACATCGACCCACATCAAAACTGTCTTTCTCAACTCACACAGATAAAAGAATGTGATAGTCTTCTTTAATATTCACTAGTACTTCATTCATGAAAAACATGTAAAGATTTTCAAGAGCACTTTTATTATCCTCCTTCCCCACAAAAACACATTCACATTTATACATTTACCTGAAATTCATCCATGATACTGAATGTATACTCATGCCTGGCTACTACATGATGACAATTCTTACAGAGATCTGCTGAAACAGAGATACTTAATTATGTCTTGGAATGTATCTTAAGACAGTAAAATTTCTATTTTCAGCATGACATTACTTTAAAAAGAATCTTAACTCTCATATTTAACTCGGCAGGAAACTCATTTATAATATCTACCTTGATAAGAAATCCAGAAAATGTCATATATCAACTCTACATAATGAAGGGCCTGATCTCAGAGACCTAATATGCATATATTAATTCCCATTTAAAGTTCTCTAAGGTAATCAATTAACAGATATATATGTGTGTGTGTTTTTTTAAAGATTTATTATTTATACATACAAGAACTGGGGTACAGGCCAAATGTGTAGGAGGGTGAGACATTCACCAGAGACAGAACGGAGAACAGAACAGGCAGACTAATCGAAATACATTGCTGAGGGGAGCAGCAGGTGAGACAGGAGAGGTTTGCCGTGCCATGTGGATATCTCCCCAGCCGGCTGGGATCAAACCCGCACTGCAGAGGCTGCAGACAGCTTCACAGCATTGCACTCAACTGCCCGCGCCACCAGGGAGGCCCCATATGTGTGTTTTTTAAAACTAGCTGGACTTACCTATATGAGAGCTTTAACTTTCAGGAATGATAGAAGTTATACTATTAGACCCAATCATAAGTAAAAAAAAAAACAAAAAACTAATGCTAGGGCCTTCCCTGGTGGCGCAGGCGGTTGAGCGCCATGCTGTGAAACTGTCCACAGCCTCTGCAGTGCCAGTTTGATCCCAGGCCGCGGGCGAGGGTCCCACATGGCGCAACAGACCTCTCCTGCCGCGCTCGCTGCTCCCCTCAGCAGTGTATTTCATCAGTCTGCCTGTTCTGTTCCCTGCTCTGGCTCTGGTGAATTCTCTCACCCTCCCACACTTCTGACTGTACCCAGTGTTTGTATAAATAAATAAATAAATCTTAAAAAAAAAAAAAAAAACCAAAAACTAAAGCTAGATATTAAAGTGAATTTAATGGTAACAAGTACTAGCACAAACAGTATGATAATAATAATTACCATTGGCTGAGTGCTTTCTGTATGCCAGATACTGTTTCAAATACTTCTTATCTAACCATTTACTCTTCCCCCAAATCCAAATGTAGATACTAGTATTATCACTCCTCAAGGGTTAAGGGTTAAGAAAACAAAGGCATATAATGGTAAAATAGCTAAGAATACTACCTACTAAAGTAGGAAACACCAGAATAAGAATTCAAAACCAAGAATCCTGGCTCCAAGGTCCTTGCTCTTAAACACTATGCCCTACTACATCCAACAAAATCAAGTTTAACAAAATCAAGTATATGCTGAAAGAAAGAAAAAGATTCTTCTAATTTAGAGCATTTCCAATAGTCTGACTCTATTCTGAAGGCCTAGTGTCACTCATACTTTCTTTTAAAATAACATTATTTGTACATTTATTCCTCATATATCAAAACAAAACAAGAATCAAGAGCCAAGCAAAAGGGAACATGAATAGTTTAAATTCTTGTCACAGTATTTGGGCACTAAAGTGTACATACATATACTTAATTTACTCACAGAAATGCTTAGGCTAACCTCAGAATTGATTTATTTTTATTACACAAAGTTTATTTCATTGGTTTCCCAGTACAGAAGATAAGCAGCAGCTTATGAAGGTAGCATACTTAAGCAGCAGAAGCAATAAACTGACAGTGAGATAGACAAATAAAGCTAAAAATACGGAAACAAGACTAAAATAACCAAAGCATCCCAGAGTGATTTAATATAGAAACCTAATAAATAGCCCTAAACACTTTAATAGCTGTTAGAGGACATCACACTGCATTATACTATTGCAAAATGTGAAAATCCACATGGATGACCCTAAGGTTAAAAAAGTCTTTAGATCTTGTTTCAGAAGGTATAAAGACTTTAGAAATAAACAAGCATGCAAAAAAAAAAAATTGGTGACTAAATAATAAACTTCAATATTGCAAGTATTACAACATTTATAGAGCATTTGGTGATGCTATAGGTGCTCCCTATATTTTCCTCTTAAAATCTAACCAGTTATGGGTCTCCCCTGGTGGTGCAGCGGTTGAGCGGTGGGCTGTAAGGCTGCCTGCAGCCTCTGCAGCGCCGGTTCTTTCCCCAGCCACCAGCAAGGGTCCCACCAAAAAAAAAAAATCTAACCAGTTAGTAGGTGCTGCAATACAATATTGAACTAGGCTCATAATATTTTGCACAACATATCAACTTCCAAAAGCTGATACCTGCTAACAGACTCAAACAGAAAAGTCTACTTACGATCATAGGTAACAATTTCTTCTCCATCCTCTTCTTTCAAACATTTGTTGGTGATCAGCATAAAGTCCCGCTTATTACACACTGCACAGCCTGTAAAGTTGAGCAAGAAAGATCCATTCTCCAGGCAGATGGTACCCTAAAATAATAAATAGTTTAATTTCCTTATGTTTCAAAATCCTTGGTAAAAAAGAGTAACATTTAAAATAACTAAAGGTAAAAAACATGGCGAGAATTCACTTGCTCAAAAGCTATATAAACCAATTTTTGAAACTACCAGCTTTCCTTTTGAAGTAACTATTCATGGTAAACAGAAGTGAAGCAGTGTAAGAGCTATGAGTCTCTGAGGAGACTGCAACTGTGTTTAAGAGAGAGTACTAAACGCAAATAGATATTTAGAAACAACTTAATGAAGCTTTAATTATATAAAATATGAAAAGAAAAATTAGAAAAATCTAATAGCCAACAATATTATGTGAGGAATCATATCATACAATGAGAATTAAGACTTAATCAGATGGAAACACTGAGCAATGATAAAAATGATCTTACACAGTGTGATGCTCAGTTGATTGCTGAAATAGCATTTTCTCAAACCTTAAAAATACTACAAGATAACCAAACAAAAATAAATCATCTTCTTTATAGATGTCAGTCCTTAAGGAAATGTGTTATTCAGGTATTCAAAAGAATGGAGTTTTGCTTCATCACTAAGAAACTGTAAACAACTTGTGCTTGTAGGTCAGGGGAGGTCTTTGCTAAGGGCTTATTAACAATTGTTCAGCATTAACAACCCAAATGCCCAAAAATAGATGGCTGGATCAAGAAGATGTGGTACATATATACCATGGAATATTACTCAGCATTCAAAAAAGATAAACACATGCAATTTGCAGCCACATGGATGGCACTGGAAGGGATCATGCTCAGAGAAATAAGCCAGAAAGAAAAAGAAAAATACCGGATGTCTCACTCATAGCAGGAATCTAGAAAACTTAAATAAGGGACCAGGAAAATGAATAACTATAAGAAAGTGAAAATCAAAATCAACAAACAACTATGAAACAGAGACACTATGGGGGTGGGGGTGGGGAGGGGAGGGATTGGAGTCAAAATAAGGGGGTTGCAATTGTATGGGGAATATAAAAATAAAATTTATTTAAAAAAACAAAAGAACAATTGTTCAGCATTAAGTAATTTTATAAATAATCTATAAATCTAAAGAATTCATTTTCAATTCTGACCAAAACCTCAAGAGTAGTTTTAATAATTAACGTAACTAAAAACCAATCAAATCATTTTCCCACTGCAGCTAAGTGCCTGTGCAAAGAACTGGAGGATTCGAGGAGGCACATGTTTCTACCTTTCAGAAGTTTATTAAGCATCAGGGGAATTAGGACCCACCTTACCTGATGCTCCAATGAAGCCTTCCTGAATTCCCAACACAATTAGCCTCTCCCTTTTGAGTGACTTCTTAGTGCTGTGTTTCATGGAATAGATTAATTCCAGTGGGGGGAATCAAGCTAACTATATAGATTGGAGATACTAAATCTTGTGCACATGAGCTTAACTACTAAAGGGGAAAAAGAGTCTCAAGATGAAGTATAAATTTCTAGCTCTTAAAAACTAGTGCATTGTTTTGCTTTTTTTTTAAATAAACTTTACTGAGGTGCAGTTTACATATAACAAGATCCACACATTGTAAGGGTATAGGTGAATAACCTTTTACATACATACATACTAATGTAACCATTATCTCAATTAAGATATAAAAATCTCTTTGCAAGAAGTTCCTTCATGCTTTAGTCTATCTCCAAGACTTAACTCACCCATTGATCTGACTTTATCTCTAGAGAGAAGTTTTGCCTGTTCTGAAATTTTATATAATCATACAGTATGCTCTTTTGCATCTAGTTTCTCTTGCTCAACATAATATCCACATTAATCATTAGTGGTGGTGTATGTATTGGCAGTTCCTTGCTTTTTACTGCCAAGTAATACTTTGGTGCATTGATTTATCTGTTGATAAATATTTGGGTTCTTTTCAGTTTGGGGCTATTATGAATAAAGCAGCTGTAAGGATTCATGTTTAGTCTATGTTGACATACACCTTTCTCTTGGGTAAATATTTAGAGGAGGAACTGTTGAGCCATAAGGTAAAAACATGGTATATATAAAAATATGACATATATGTACGTACATGTAAGAAATTACCAAATGGTTTTCCATTTTCCAGTCCCACTAACAATGTGAGTTCCAGTTGCTCCACATCCTCACCAACACTAGGTAATGTCTTTTCTATTTTATTCATTGTGGTGATGTAAAGTGGTTTCTCACTGTAGTTTTAATTTATTTCCCTGATGACTAATGATGTTGAAAATCTTACCATAGTGCCAAGTGACATCTTTCTTGAAAGGTTTCTATTCAGTCTTTGCCCATTTTTTGAAAGTTAGGTTGTGTTCTTATTGCATTACAAGTTATTATTGAGCTATAAGAGTTCTTTATATATCTTAGGATATAATTCATTTGTCAGATGTATGTATTACAAATATTTTCTCCAGGTCACTGGTTTGCCATTTTTTATGGTGTCTTATTAAAGAATAGCTTTGACTTTTATGAAGTCCAATTTATAAAATCTTTTCTTCATAATCTGTGCTTGTCCTCTAAAATATCTGCCTATTCCAAGGCTTCAAAGATTTTCTCCTGGAAATTTTATAATTTCCACTTGGAGGTTTTGGTTCATGATCCAATTTGAAATAACATGAGGTATGGATCAAGTTTCATTTATTTTCATATGAATAGTCAGTTGTTTCAGCAAAATTTATTGAAAAGACTATCTTTTCCTCATTGACTTACATTAGCACCTTTGTGATAAATTCAAATGACCATGTGGGTCTACTTTTAACTATTCCATTCTCTTGATTTATATGCCTTATTTTTGCACAAATATTGTACACTCTTGATGACTGTAACTTTATAGAGTAAGTATTTAAATCAGGTAGTTTATTATTGGCTAAGTCTGGTTATGTCTTATAACTGATTATGTCTTGTAACTGGTTTCATTTCCATATAAATTGTAGAATCAGCTCATATGTTTTTGTAAAAACGCCTGCAGAGAATTGAATTGCAGCTTCCTTGAATCTATAAAAGCTGACTGCCAAAGGCTTCAAGAAATTACTGAAAAATTCTTAATAGAAAAAATATCTAAATATGAATTTCAGATAAACAGAACTCTGTACCTATAAACACAGGCACCTTATACATGTGGCCTAATTTCTGTAATCTGACCTTGAGAGTAGGCAGAATATACACTCTAAGGAAACACTGAGAGAAAAGAGACCTATGTATCTGCTTTGAAGTAAGGAAATAAATACTGGAATGGAAAAATACAAATATGATCTATAGGAAACTTATGGATTCTATAAGGGCTCTAATTGAAAGCAGGGTAAACTTCATCAGTGAGACATGGCTATTTTACTAAATGAGGCAAGATAATTAATGTCCATATTTGAAGAAATAAATTACAGCACGTAATATTGAGAAAAGCTTTCAAGGGTCCCACAATGGGAGGGAAAAGGAGAATTCAATCTAAATCAATTCCACTACAGTACCAATAAGCTGTAAGAGTTTCAAGAATACAGGGAGAAAAAAGTCAAACAGTAACATCCTTACAAAAGGTGACTCAGGTAAATCCTGGTTTAGGATCTATAAAGCAACATAAGTGTACAAGAAGAAATGGTTGAATATTATGATAATTAGTAAAACAGTATGATAAATCTTTGAAATTTGAGAAATCTATAACTATCTAAACCAATTTGCTTTTTCCAGAAAGCTATTATTTCAGATGGTACATCTTAATAGTGTAGATATTTTACCAGGGCATGTTTAAAATTTAAACTGGAGAAAAGAGTTGTTAAGGAACCAGATTTTCTCTATTGTTTTTCTATTTTCTACATTAATTTCTACTCTAATCTTTATTATTGCCCTTCCGCTTTACTAACGGTTTAGTTTGCTCTTCTATTTCCACTGTCTTAAGTAGATTATGTTACCAATTCAAAATTGTCCTAATATAGGCATTTAAAAATGCAGAATATCATTTTTAAAGCATTCATTTATATACAGTTGTTTTTACTAGTTATATATCAGACTTAGCATTTAATTAATAAAGTTTAATGTTGAGCAACAGTCTAAGTACATGAACTTTGGTAGTTTCGTTCAAGTAATGTATATAAAGCATGTAATTTTTTAAAAAAGATTTATTTATTTATACAAGCACTGGGTACAGTCAGAAGTGTGGGAGGGTGAGAGAATTCACCAGAGCCAGAGCAGGGAACAGAACAGGCAGACTGACGAAGTACACTGCTGAGGGGAGCAGTGGGCAGCAGGAGAGGTCTGAGCGCCATGTGGGACCCTCGCCCGGCAGCCGGGGATTGAACCGGCGCTGCAGAGGCTGCGGGCAGCTTCGCAACCCAGTGCTCAACCGCTGCGCCACTGGGGAGGCCCAGCATGTAATTTTTAATTTAAATATATCACTAATTCATACTGATCATTTCCCTCTTATTAATTTAAATCAATGTATTTCTGTATTGCTACGCAGTACTAAGAAATATAAAGCAGACACAAACTATATGAATATAGGTTTTTAGTTCCAGTTTTATATGGAAATATTTTATTAGAATTTTGTGATTTCAGAAAATGCAATCACTTTCTTGTTCCAATTGGTTTGCTAAATGTTTTTCTGAAAGAAAAAAATAATCTGGACCATAGTTGTGTAAAAAAATTGGACTTCAGGGTAATATGGCTCATTTCCAGTTTGCTTCATATTTGAGTTCAAGTTCTTGGGGTAATATTACACCAAGTAAGTAGGCCAGAGCTCTGTTAGGAATTCAGCACTGTGTTATTTCTAGTCTGTGAAAAACATCTGCCACAAAACTTCAAAATGTCATAATTTTTTTATGAAAAAAAAAAAAAAAAGATTAAATATTAACTCATTTTGCAGTTAAATGTTTCCCGAAATGCTAATACATTGTATCTGAGCCATTTTTTTTTTTTTTAAGCGAAAGACTATACTTGATACCACCATCTCATTACCCTTGTCTTTGCTAAACTCAAGCAAAGTGGCGTCTACTCTTACTGTCCTTAAAAATATCTCAGGACTTCAAAAACTCCAGAGTTGGATGGAACCACAAGGTTTCAAATGGTTGGTTAGTTTCTGCTGAACAACAGAGAGTTCAATTCTTGAAAGGGTTACCCACTGCAATTTTGAAAATCTGTTAGAAAGTTTATTATTCTGATTCAAAGCCTACAACCCCACAGCAACCACCTACTATTTCTAAATCTGCCTTCTGTAATTCCAAAGAAAAGTTTAATTTTTCCTTATGACAGCTGTTTAATTATTTTAGAACAAAATAAAATCAGAAAAAATTGCTTATGGAAGATACCATTCTGGTTTTCCAATCACCTCAATCCTTTTCTCTACTTTCTTATATTTTACTTTCACTTGATGTAATTTATTCCTTGAAGCTCAGTCTTTGATTGCATTCGTTTCCTAAGAGAACAAATCCTTTCTATTTTGACAACTTTATTTGGCTGACTCATCTGTTTGAGTGGTAACAGAACTGCAATCTTTTATTTTCACTTGACTCCTCCGATGTTATTCTTAACCTTGAATGAAACAGGACAAAAGCAATCTGACCTTTTGCCCTGTCAATTTTGGTTCTTCCTCCCTTATGCCTCTAATTTCTAAAACTACATTTCTAGTTTCCCAGCTGCCTAGATTAAAAACTACATTTCTAGTTTCTAAAACTACATTTCTAGTTTCCCAGCTGCCCAGATTAAAAATCCTGAGACCATTTATAGCTCTCTCTTTTTCCCCCTCCGACATTAAACTGGCTTAATCCTATTAATTCTTTCTTTGATATGAGGTCCTCATTATCTCATGCCTACTGTTGCCATGGCTCCCCAAACGCTTCACAGAGCTCTCCCTTTTCATTTTTCCTCATCTAGTCATCTCAACATCACAGTCATAAGACTCACTTTCCTGAATAATATATTTCAGAATCATTTTCCTATTCAATTTTTTTTCATGGTTGCCCAGTGCCTAAAGTGCAAAACTAAACTTCTCAATATAATTTTTAAGTCTTTTGATTACTTTAACTCAAGAATCCAACCTAATCTCTTTAATACTCTACTGCATACACCTCCCTCAGTTTCAGGATTGTGTAACATTCATTATTGGATTCATAAAAATCTTTTTAAACTTAAAAAAAGTATCAAATAGAAAATACAGAAAAGATGTGAAACAAACACACAACATAATGCCTCTCTACTTATGTCAGTAATACTCCCAGTTGTGACAACCAAAAATATTTCCAGATATTGACAAATGTTCCTAGGGACACAAAATCACCACTCTAATTCATTCACTTTCATTACTCATTCATTCATTGTTTTCCAGACTATGACTGTATCCCATTTTTCAGTCTACAAGAAATAATGTCATTACCAACAGTCTTATACAAATCTCCAGGAAAATATGCACATGCATTTATTTTCCTAGAATGGGAAGTGCTGTGTCATGCAGTATGCATATCTTCAATTTTACTTGATAATGCTAAATCTTTTTCCAAAAGCACTGTACCATATGAGAGTTCATGTTATATATAGTTCCTCAAAGACCTACTATAACATAAACATAAAAGACCGAAGCAACTATAGAGATTTTGTGCCTTCCAAACAATACAAGAATCCTTGTTATCTCCCCCTCTCCCTGGCCTTCAACTCCTTCTTTTCCATCCTAATCACAACTATCCTGCAAGTCCCAAGTGAAGTCCACCTTTCTTTTGGGAAAATAATGGTATCCTCTGCTACTTCCCCTTTCTCTAAGCTTGAACAGCATCTCTGGCCCATACTACTTATTCTCTGATAATCACAAACTCCCCCCTAAAGTGTAAGCTCTTAGCACAGAAGTTGCCTTTATTTCTTCTTTGGCTTGCCTTTCTGGCCTAGCAAAGCAATCTAATTGCACACAAGTATACGCTGAATAAGTGACAGTAAAAAAAAAAAAATAAATAAATAAATACAAGTTTCACAACCTCCTGAGCCTAGGAGAAACAGAACTTTAACGAACGTTAACAAGCAGGAAAACTGAATTCTAGTCTTGGCTCTCATCCTGACTAGAATGTGAAATTCAGCAAGTGATTTCCCTTCTGTGGGCATTAGCTTTTCACCTACAAAATTGGGTTCGAGCGGATGACCTCAAGAGTCTCTTCCAGCGCTAGAATTCACTAAGAAAAAAAGAACCTTATCAAATCAAACTGAGGATGAGACCAGGGACAGGGGTGGGGGTGTCCCTCTGTGATCGACTGGGCTGCTGCTGTTGCTAGGGCTTCCTCTGTTGTCCCCCGGAGTTTAAAAGAAATGGGGTGACGACTGATGTCAACCCCCGGGGCGGGAACGGAGAGCCGCAGGCAGCCCGCTGGCAAGCACCTAACTACAGCTACCGGGTCACCTGCACGGGCGGTGAGCCCCGCCCGGCCGGCGCCCAGCCTCTCGGGGAAGGCCAGCCGCGGGAGTGAGAAGGCCCAGGCGCCCACCGCAGGCTACGGGAGCGGGAGGGTCTCGCTCACCCGGTTGGGATATTCCTTCTCCACACAGTCTACGCACATCGCGACGCACTTTACAGGGACCCGGCTCCAGCGCTTCCGGGAAGTCGAAAGCTCGCGAGAGCTGAGAGGAGGTTGACGCATGCGCCCCAGGTACTTGACCCTGGCGTAACTGGAAATCTCCGCCCCTCAGCACTGCTAGGGTAGGGCCTGGTCTCCCAGCAAGTTCCTTGGGGGCGGGCTAAGGCTTCAGAAATGTACCAGGAAAGAGGAAGGCACCTGGACTCACCGAAGTGGCGGGAAAGGAAAGGGAATCTTGGACTGAACAGTGTTCTAATGAGCGCCCTCCTGAGTTTAAGGGGAGAGGGAAACCACAAAATACAGAAAAGGGAATTGTTTTTCGCTGCCTCAGCTCACCCCACAGATAAAGTTGAAATTGTAATGATGTGAATATCTCTCTTAGGACAGTGAAAGGGATAGGGCCGATCTTGGTAGGTGAATAAGTGTAAGAGAAGTGTTTGGAGAGAGGCAATTACAAGCTCTGCAGAGAATGCCCTAAAAAGAATGGTTAAAATGTCCATAATAAATAACCATCCCTGAGTCCTCTGGAGAACATAGTCATGGGAAACGTGTTTCTATCTCTGTCGTCACAGAAGCACTTTAATGGCAGGCAAGTACTATATAAATAGAAAATGTCCAGGTCAATTATCCCTATATAATTTCCCAGTCCTGTAGATCTCAAAATGTTTGTGATGGTGCCCTGTCTCTTCCGTTTCTCTTCTTCAAAGGCATCTTATTTCCCATAGATACATAATTAATCTTAATCCAAATCTCTAAAATGTGTCTTTGTGCTTCTGAGCAACCTGTCTTCATCATACCCAGCTACTCCATGGATATAATTAATGGGAACATCACCTAACTCGTGACTGCTTTATTGCAGTCACCTCACTAAAGGAAATGGGGAAACCTATGTGACTATGGGATCCACATCCTTAAAGAAGAGATTAAGAACCATTTCAAAGCAAGTCAGCTTAATTGGATTTTCTAATAGGGGAATTGTATCTCTACTGAGTGTTGCAATTGTAACCTTTAATATTTCAGCCTCTGGTGAGAATCTACAATAGCTACTAAAAACTACTGGTGTACTAAGAAACACTGAGCAAACTAGTGCCATCATAGGTCACTCTATTCTTGGAATAATTATAATACCTTCCATTTTAATGTCATTTGCAACCTTTCAAAGTGTCCTCATTTCAGTTCCTAATTATATGCTACTGTAAACCTGTCAGATTTGCATGAAAAGTATGTCTCCTCTTTTCAGATGAGGAATCCAAGGAAATAAGTGGTTAAAGGTCTTGTCTATGGTAACAGAAGTACTCAGTATTAAGTCAGAATGAGGACTCAATTCCTACCATTGGCTTGAATTCTTTCTAGTACAGTAGCCAATGTGGCTGCAAAGCATTTTTAATGTGGCAAATTTGAACTGAAATATGTTAGAAGTACATTCTGCACCCTAGACTTAAAAGACAGCATAAAAAATGTAAAATATTTCATTAGTAATATTTCTATGATTACATGTTGGAATAATTTCATTAAACAAAAACATCATTAAAATTAATTTCACCTTTTTTTAACCTGTCTGCTAGAAAAATTAAAATTACACATATAGTTTGCATTATATTTCTACCAGGTAGAGCTGATCTGCATGGTTCTCTGTTGATCCATTTTAAATGCAACTTTTTTTTTTTGAGGCCATATTACTTTATTTTTTTAATATATTTTATTTTATTTTAACATCATTTTTCATTTTTGCACAATGTATCCTTTTTCATCTTGGTTATAGTCCCCATACAATTCCCACCCCCCTTATTTTAACTGTAATCCTTCCTACCCGCATCCCCCCTAGTGTGTCTCTGGCTTATAGTTGCTTGTGGATTTTGATTTTTACTTTATTATAATTAGTCTTTCTCCTGGTCCCTTATTTAGGTTTTCTAAATTCCTGCTATGAGTGAGACCATCCGGTATTTTTCTTTTTCTCTCTGGCTTTAAATGCAACTTCTTTTTAAAACCAAGTGCTGACTTTTAATTTTACCACCTATTTTATTCAATTCTATAGACAGGTGTTGAGTACCAAAGAAGTGTGGACAGCAGGAAGATGAAAAAGACATGTCCTTTCCTACTCTTCAGATGTTCACGGCAGAGGCTGAGGGAAAAAAATAAGCATAAATACCTGTAATTACTGACAGATTGTGGAGCACAAAATGGAGAGACCACTTTCAGGTAGGAGATTGGGAAAGAGGGGTTGGGTCTTGAAGGTTATATAGGATTTCAAAAAGTAGGGCCTCCCCGGTGGTGCAGCGGTTGAGCGCTTGGTTGTGAGGCTGCCCACAGCCTCTATAGCACCAGTTCAATCCCTGCCCACCGGCGAGAGTCCCACAAAAAAAAAAAAAAAAGCAGAGTTTTTTTTTTTAATTTTTTGTAAAGATTTATTTATTTTTATACAGGAGCTGGGGTACAGGCCAGAGGTATGGGTGGGGGGGGCGGTGAGAGGATCCAACAGAGACACAGCGGGGAATAGAACAGGCAGACTGACTGAAATACACTGCTGGGGGGAGCAGTGGGCGAGGCAGGAGAAGTCTGTTGCGCCATGTGGGTTTTTCCCGGCCGGCGGGAATCAAACTGCACTACAGAGGCTGCAGACAGCTTCACAGCGCTGTGCTCAACCCCCTGCGCCACCACGGGAGGCCCCAAAAGCAGAGGGTTTTAGTGGAGGAATTTCAGGTGGACTGTGCCAAGAAGTTCGGATTTTATCCTACAAGTGATAAGGAGTCACTGAAAACTAGTGCAAGAGAGTGATGCCGAAGTTGTGGTTTAGGAAAATTGTTTTAGCAACATTTTGGAGGAACTGATTCCAACTCAAAGAAATTAGATTCGTGAAATGTATTTGTTAACAGGAACCACAAGGGGGAGATGTATAGCTTCCTGCCTCCTAGTGGAGAACATGCACAATAAAAAATTTTAAATAAAAAATTACACTGCAATCAAAGATTTCAAAACATAGGTTCTTTGGCATTAACTGATTTCCTGTTCTGAGGCATGAAAGACTATGTACATGTTTACAAGTGTCTTTTTACCTTCCCGGAATGATTTGATATCTTGTTATTATAATGAGCAAGTGAATGAAAAGGTCATAGGCACAAAAGTCACAGAACCAATGTCTATCCATTCAGTGAAGTTCTCCTTTCAAATCTAGCTATGTTCAGGGACCAGAGGAGACAATGAAACTGGCAGGAGGAGGTGGACAGCATCAGAAATTAAAGTGTGATTATGGTAATAGAAATATGAAAGTTGGGCCTCCTCTGGTGGCGCAGTGGTTGAGCGCTGGGCTGAGAAGCTGCCCTCAGCCTCTACAGCGCCAGTTCGATCCCTGGCCACTGGCAAGGGTCTCACATGGCGCACAGACCTCTTCTGCCACGCCCGCTACTCCCCTCAGCAGTATATTTTGTCGATCTGCCTGTTCTGTTACCTGCTCTGGCTCTGGTGAATTCTCTCACCCTCCTGCGCTTCTGATTGTACCCAGTGCTTGTATAAATAAATAAGTAAATCTTAAAATATATATATATATGAAAGTCTTGGACGTTGTCAGGTGGAAGAAAGGAAAATAGAGGCTACAAAGCAGAAGGAAAATAGTACCTGAAAGAAATGAACAAGTAGTGGTGTGAAATAAATATTTACAAAAGAAAGCTGTCTTCTCTTTTAATAATTATATAAATTAAAGTTTGCAGAAACTTTCTAATTAAAGTAAAAGGATTACTTTCTCTGGAACAAAGCCCTGCTCGTAGGAGTCTTTAATAAACATGGGATGTCAGTGATGTATAGCAAATGTGCCCAAACATTTCAGTTTATACATCATCTCTTGTGAAAAGAATGGATTTAAGAAACTTTGAATGTTAAAATTGCCAGTTACATGTGCTACATTGCATTCCTGGGGCAAGCTTAAAGTTTTCCCTCAAAAATGCAGTTGGATCTCCTTTTAACACCCTCTGTCTAGTACCTTTTTTCTTTGACATTTATGTCACCTGCAGAGACTGGAAGGATGCACTGCTGAGCACACCTACCCTCTTCATCCTTTGTTTAAAGGGGTAAGGAAGCTCTCAGGAACCTTTATGATACTACTGTCAGCCAGTTATACAGATGGAGGGAAGCTCACGTCCAGGTGGAAATTCATCTGCTTGGGGAAGGAACGTGTGTCATTCTTTCCACTGACTCAAAGGAAACGTGAAATAGGAGTGGTTTTCTTTAGCTGGTATCACCTGTCTGGCATGAATGAGTTAGCAGCAATTCTAGGTTAACATCGAGAACACAGGTGAGCCTGAGCCTGGCTCAGGGCAGGTACAACTGAGCTCCTAAAATGTCAAGGCCAGTATTGTGGGGGGAGAGGGAGAAGGCTGTCGGTGGCCAAGTTGGACTTTCTTCCCTTTAGGGTTCTCAGAGCTATTCAGATAAACCCCAGCTTTCAAATACATGACATTTAAAAGCAAGGGAGTAACTACTATTTCTTTTTTATTCTTTTTACATTAACTCTCCTTTCTTTTCACAAATAAATGATCATTTCCATATACAATTTTCATAATACATCAAAATCTCTAATGTAGTAGCCATTGGGGAAATGTTATCACTCAATCTTACATGGATGGAATGGATTTAATAATCAAAATGTAACTGGGTTTTCAATATGCTTTTATTATATTTTCAATTTATGCCCTACGGATATAGTAAGACAGAAGATACTTTTGTTCTTCAGCACCAATGTCACCTCAGAGAGGTGAAGGAGTTTGGAATTTTCAGAGACACTGAGGGTGTGAGGAAAGGGAGATCAGGAGTCTCTGTTGAGTTCAGGGGAAAGGCCAGCAGAGGGAAGGTTTACTCCAGGTAATTCAGACTCAAAATCTTTCAGATTCAGGAAGCCTGGGTAGTTTAGGAAAGATTAATTTTGACTTGAAATGGAGGAGTACCCACAAAAGAAACTTCAAGAAACATTTGGGAAATAACATGGTGATTCAAAGCCAAAATGTTAGATTCTGGCCCTAATTTTATTTAATAACAGCAAATTAAGGCTTATTTTATCAGTTTTCATCTATACAACAACAATAATAATATACCTACTTCACAAGGTTGCTTCATAAGGTGATGCACAGATATTTCAGATATGTGAGTACATACAGAAGACTCAAGAGTGCTAAGAAAAAGAACTCTTTCCACAAGCATGAGGTGGTAACAGGCAGAGATGATAGGAAAAGGGAGTTGGCATGACTAAGCCCACCCAATGTGTGAATGTGTATGAACTGAACAGGATCATATGAGACCATGTACTTGACACCTTTGTACAGGGTAGTTAATGTGCACTTGAAAAAGTCGGGTGAGCATGCTGTGTAGGAGAGGACACAGTGGGGTAACTGGTGCTAGGAAGGAAACCACAGCAGATGGAGAGAGAGCAAAAGCCAGACTCCTCCAGGAAGCAGAGTCAGAAAGTTACCAAAAGTCACAAAGAATCCAGAACCTTCTATATAAGTGCTGCTTTGGGCTTATACCTAATCACACATTCTCAGCCCTACTTCTGGTTTCTTGTGCTTCTTTCTCTTGACAAAATCTTCTTTGAGAACTAATGACAAAGTACATACCAAAACTTGAGAGAACAGGAGACATATTATTAAGCAACTACAGAATACAGTGCCAAGAAATGTGACAGTTATAATACATCTCATGGTGTCACTGCTCGAAAAGCTCCATGATTCCCCATTGCCTTCAGGATAAAATCAAGTTCCCTATTCCTGCTTTCGAAGCCATTTAAAAGTCAACCCCCATCTATATCTCTTGCCTCTGTCCTGCTGCTCCCTACCGATCAGTCGGCAGTCCTTTCTTTGTCGTCATATATTTCCTATCTATAATGTCACCAGACTTCTCATGACCTTACACACATGAAATTCTTTCAAATTTTCTTCATAACATTCTGTGTGTTGCCTCTGCCCATCTGTTGCAGTCATATTTAGTCTCTTAGACCTGGCTCAATGATCACCTCTTCCACAAAGACCAGGTATTAGTTTCCTATTCTAAGGTCCTGTAACAACATTTATTCCTTCCCCTATCCTAGAATACACAGTCACCACTTGACTGCAAATTCCTTAAGAACTGTGCTTGTTTTCCAGCTTTTAGCAGTATGCCTGACACATACACGTAGTGGGTACTCAGTAATGTTTTTTTGATTATGAAAGCTGAACATAGTTTTGCCCATCCCAACATCTTACCCCAACAAATTCCATGACTAAAAGCAGTCACCTTTCTGCCTATTCCATTTAGACTTGACTCCAGGCCATTGCCTTCAAAGATTTTGAAATTTGAGGAGGAAAACAAATTTTTTTTTATGAGAAGACATTCTGGTAGAAAAATTGTTTTAAGTTCAACATCCTTCTCCTTTAATAACTCACCAAGAATGTATTGCTAAGTCATGTCTTCATGCTGTACCCATTAAGGGACTATTTTGCCTTCGGCATGGATGATTCAGCAAGAACAAGGTGCCCTGGTATCATTCAATTTAACACCTCATTGCTTTCTAGGAAATGATCTGTAAACTTAGAGTTCAGTTTGTCACCTCATTCCTTGAAAGTTAGCAACACCTTCTTGACTTCAATTGGTTCTGTACACTGCTTTATCTTTTCTTTTATAAATAATTGAATCCATAATGGTTTGTTCATTCGAGTTGAAGTAAAGTAGGTGATTCTTCCACCACTGTGGTATCTTAGTCTTCTATCATCGGTTCAATTAATATTTGAGGTGTTGACATCAATGAACCTTTCACTGCAAAATTTAAAATAGTGCTCAAAATATAATTATGCCTGGAAGAAGTAATATGATGATATTAAAACCCAGGAATAATGTGTGGAGTGTTTAAACCATGCCTGCCTTTAAACTTACAATTGGGGTGAGGGGGAAAACAAAACCAGTGGTCACAATATGTGTAATGACTTCTCTAAAGGATGTTATTGGGGCCAGAAAAAAAGGGCAGGCATCTAAACCTGAGAGAGGTTGGAGAGAGGAGGGAACAGTGTCAGCAAAGATTTTCCAGAAGAGCTGGTACTTCAGCAGACTTTAAAAATGCATGGGCTTTAGGGAATGTTCCCTGGGCAGGGAAGCAACATGTACAAAAGTACAAAGGCCTGGGAAAACAAGTTTGGAAGGCTGGTAGTGAGGTAGCATAGATCTTAGCAATGCCCACTCTTTTGATGAGAAGGGTAAAGCTTCAACCCTTAAGTCAGGGAGACTGATTCCATAATTATGACTAACCCACCCCAGGTGGAAGTTATCACAATGGAAGTGAAAATCGCTCAGACTTCTTCCTACATATATATCAGCATCATATTTTCCACGGAAGTGGTTGTGTGGAGACATACAGATGTGGATTCACATTCCAGCTCTGTCACTTATTAGCTGTACAGGATACAATACTTCTCTGTACCTTTTTCCTTATTTGCAAATGGGACTACATCTACCTCATTGAGAGTAAATGGAGATCCATTTAGCCCTGGGTCTGATATATGTATTAAGTATTCCATAAATGTTAGCTAAGTGGATGAAAATTAGTCCAGAGAACTAATAAAGCTATAAGACTTAATGGGTGGTAATCAAGTTATAGTAATTAACTATAGCCCTAGAGAATCCAGAGATAGAACAACTTTTAAGAAGTTAGCTAACAAACACCTCTGCATCTAAGAAGATTAATGCTTAATTCAATGACATTTGCCCCTGCCTGCTATCAAGGGCCCTAAGTATATGTGAGGGAAGATGGGGGGTGGGGGTGGAGAACAAACAGAAAGAAGAGAATGAGAGATAAAGGAAGCAGGATGATTGGACAAAAGGGATAAGAAATATACTTTAGTGGTACATCTGCCATTAGTTGTCTATTCCTGACTTAAATTTCCAAAGCAGATGGTGATTTTATTTTATTTATTATTATTATTTTTTAAACAATATTTGCTTCTCCCCCTCAGATTGAGTCCCCATAGAATTTCCTTCCGCAAGGCACCCGTGCACCATCACCTCAGTCCCCTGTGCTCCTCCCTCCTTCTGATCCCTCTCCCTCCTCCTCCCCTGCAGTATGTCTCTGATCTATAATTGTCTGTTTTTGCTTTGCTGTGTTTTGTATTATTATTTTTTTTCACTGATGTCTTATTTGGTTCCCCTATATTCCTGTTGCAAGTGAAACCATCCGATATTTTTCTTCTTCCTTCTGGCTTATTTCACTGAGCATAATTCCTTCTAACTCCTGGAGGTTCCTCAGTCTGCTAAAAATGGAGCTATCATATGACCCAGCAATTCCACTATTAGGGATCTGCCCAAAGGACACAAAAACATTGATTCAAAAGAACACCTGTGCACCTATGTTTATTGCAGCATTATTTACAATAGGTAAAACCTGGAAACAACCCAAATGCCCAAAACTAGATGACTGGATCAGGAAGATGTGGTATATATACACAATTGAATATTACTCAGCAGTCAAAAAGATAAACTCATGCCATTATTTTTTTATTTTTAAAAGAGATTTTTTTTTGAAGATTGATTTATTTATGCATACAGGAACTGGGGTACAGACCAGAGGTGCAGGGGGTGAGAGGATTCACCAGAGACAGAGTGGGGAACAGAACAGGCAGAGTGACTGAAATACACTGCTGAGGGGAGCAGCAGGCGAGACAGGAGAGGCCTGCTGCACCATGTGGGATTCACGCCTGCCAGCCAGGATCAAACCCACACTACTGAGGCTGCGGACAGCTTCACAGTGCAGTGCTCAACCACTGCGCCACCGGGGAGGCCCCCCCATTTGATTTTTATGTGATGCTGTTTGGTAGCATTACTCTCTGTTACGAATTTACTCCTGACAGATGATTCTGTCCTAAATCTTTCTTTCCCATATGTCCTTCAGTTTGCAGTTTGTGTTCTAGTTTATTTTTAGAGCCTAAGCTATGATGACTGCCTGCTGTCTTTCTCTGTTCTTAGACTTCCTTTCTTTTCTGTTTTTCTTATGGCTATCGGTAGGTTAGCAGTAACTATCAGTTGCTGATTAACAAAAATAAGTCAAGTGAATCAAAACCTCCAAATGTTTGGTTCCAGGCTGGTTAGCCACAGCAGCATTTTCTTAGATGTGTTTTTATTTTGATGTGAGTTACATGAGTCCTCTGATTGGGGCTGATAGATTTCTTCTGTGTAGTATCATGACTGAGCTACAGAAAAGGAAAGTTATCAATATAAAGACTAAGGACATTGGTAAGTAACTTAGCAAAAAGGCAGAACTGTGTGGTAGAGGCCATAACCCAACCCTCAGCAAAAACTTGAGGAAACTGTTTGATGTCAGCATCTCTTACTGTGGACCTAGAGATTTTTGTCTTTCTGCCCAAATCATAATTGGATGAATTTACTGCTTTTGAAAGTTTATTTCTAACCCAAAGTTCATTTATAAATAACAAGAAAAACACGATGAACAATGTTTACTGTGTTTTGTGTAAGATACTGAATAAGTACCAGATGAACAAAGAGGGAGAATATATGATTTGCATTCAGAGCATTTACTGTCTTGAGGAGATAAGGCAGTATATTTAAATACATACATATGTTTTTAACAAACAAATTAAAACTGCCAGATAACACAGACTGAGTGCCAAATGAGTAATGTATAAGTAGGCTGATCATATGCTTCAGTTTGTCCTGGCTAGCCCTAGTTTATGACCGCTTTTCTAGAGTAATTATGCCCCCTTTAGCTCTCAAACCTCACAGTTTGTATGATAAATTATATAGTTACCTATTTACAGATCAGTGGTGCAGGAATTAAGGAGAGGGAGTGATTCCCAATGACTAGAGCAGTTGGTAAGGTGTCCATTGAGCTGGTAGAACTTGAGCTGGGTTTTGAAGGAAGAGTTAGGGCAGAGACCTCAATGAACATACAATAAAGGCCATATATTACTAATCCTCAGTTCATATACTCAATGGTAAAAAAAACTGAAAGCTTTTCCTTTAAGAGCAGTAACAAAATAAGGTTGCTCATTCCACCACTTCTATTTAATTTACTGTTAGTGGTCTTAGCCAGAGAAAGTAGACAACATTAAGAAATAAAAGCAGAAGCTTGGTTCTGGCTCTTTAGATCCGCTTCTATCGGTTCTTACGGTCGTTAGTCAGACTCTTGCAGCCAAAGTGGTGAAGCAGATTGACAGCAAGTTTGCTTTTCAGGACGCCTTGAATGGTGCAGGAGATAAACTGGTAGTCGTTGACTTCTCGGCCACAAGGTGTGGGACTTGCAAAATGATCAAGCCTTTCTTTCACGCCCTCTCTGAAAAGTACACCAATGTGGTGTTCCTTGAAGTTGATGTGGATGACTGTCAGGATGTCGCTTTAGATTGTGAAGTCAAATGTATGCCAACTTTCCAGTTTTTTAAAAAGGGACAAAAGGTGGGTGAATTTTCTGGAGCAAATAAGGACAAACTTGAAGCCACCATTAATGAATTAATCTAATCATGTTTTCTGAAAACCACTCATCGGCTGTAATTTTTTTATTTACAAAAACAGATTAAATAGCCATACTTATTTGCAGCTGTCCCTGATTATACATGAAAATAAAATATTAATTCTGCCCTTTAAAAAAAAGAAATAAAAGCAATTCAGATTGGAAAAGAAGTGAAACTATCAACATTTGCATGTGACATGATAGCACACATAGGAACCCTAGAGACTCCACTAAGTAAAACTATTGGAAACAATAAAGTGGCAGGCTACAAAATCAATATACAAAAATCTAGGTGAGGACTGGATAAAGATGTAGCATATATACACAAGTGAATAGTACTCAGCTATAATAAAGATGAAATTTTACCATTTGCAGCTCCTGCTAAGGGAATTAACTCAGAAGGAGAAGGATACTTATTGGATGATCTCACCTATAGGTGGAAGATAAGGAAACCAACACATGAAGGAATAAAACAGAACAATAATAAGCCAGTGGACTCTGACAACAGAACTGGGATTACCAGAGGAGAATGGGAGGGAGACTGAATGTGGAGGGAGTCTAATAGATGGTAATGGTTTTTATTATTCTTAGTAATTTTTAGTAATTTTTAAGGGTGTTATCAAAAGCAAGAGGAGAGAATTTTGGAGGGAGAATATCAAGAAGAAAGGTGCCAAAATGGGCAAGGGAATAAAGTACAGCCACAGGTCCAGGGGCTATTGTTCATATTAAGTTTCTGTGAATGGTGCCTGCCCTCTGGATGGTAAGGCTATGTTATATGTGGGGAGCAATTAGAGGATCAATTTAGCTGGAGAAGAGAGTTTATGTAGAGGATTTGCATGAGATAAGAATAGAAACAGGCAGAGAACAGATAGTGAAAAATATTAAATGTCAGATTAAGAGATTAAATTTTACCCTGTAGTGTATTGGAATTTAACTGAAGAATTATGATCAGGGAATGTTACCAACAACAGAATGTTTTTAGAAGATTAATATTTCCAATGTATTAAAAAGAGAAGAAAGAAGAACTAGCTCCAAAAGTATTAGAAATGCCCAGGAAAGAGGTGATAAAACTGAACTACAGTGGGGCAGAGAGAATGGATCTGAACAGATTGAAGAGAGTTCGAAAAGGCAGGACCGATATGTGATGACTGATTAACTATTCAAGGACAGGGAACAACAAAGAATGACTCGAGGTATAGAACCTGAATATCTGGGAAAAATGATAGTATTATTGGTGAACATAGAGGGTTGAAAAAAGCTAGGTTTTTTTGAGAATAGATGCACTCTCCACCAGATAGGGGTTTGAGACATCCTTATGGAAATGTCCAGCAGGTAATATTAAATTGAAGCTGAAGGTGGTCTAAAGACATGGACTTAGGATTTCTGTGGCCTGTTGAATTATTCAATAAGTTTTCTAGTTCAGGATCATAAATGTCAGCTCACAATTATCACTTGGGTTACAATGACACATTTTAGAGTAGGAAGGAATATAGCAGAAATATTGCAGAAGAGTGATCCCAGCGGTGGAATGAAACAGGACAGTGTGTAACAAGAGGACCAAAGGAAAACAGTTAAGCTTGCAAAGGTAATCTGCAAAGATTGAAAAGAGGTCAAGGGCAACTAAGACAGAAAACATCCATAGTTTTGGGTGGTGAGAATGACATGGGGGCTTTTATTGTAGTTGGAGAGGTGAGCTCCATGTTATAAAAGTTAAAGGATGAGAGATGATGTTTCAAGGGAAATAATGAATGAAGGCTGATCTTTTGAGAAATTTGGCAGTAAAAGGAGAAAAAATATGATCAAAGTTCAAGGAATAGCCAGAATTTAGGAAGGATTTTTTAAAGGGGTATAAAGAATATGTATTCATATTGAACTATAGATGGCACTTTACTTAGAATTAATTGTGATTTTTAAAATTGCTCACAGTGCTCTTCTTCCTCTTAATTCCAAGCAAGAAGTTTACTAGAGCACAGGAGAAAGAAAATACAGATCGGAAAAAAACTGATGAAAATGTCAATAGTTAGTCGTCAACAGGTGATTAAAATGGACCTAATCTCTTTCCCGGGGGTGGGGCCCCTTTCTGTTCACGTAGAAATTGTGTGTTGTCTGTAGCTGGGCAGACATGTAATAGGTTAGGAGAGGATATTTCTAAAATAATGGTGGTCTTTTTTATTTTTTGAGGGGTCCCTAAATTTCCCAATCAACCACCCGGTTTAAAAAAAACACATAACACCTGAGTGATCTACGAATTTCCTAGCCATGTGACATTCATCCTGCTTTCTGCTTCCTCGGCCAGCATCCTCGTTGAGGCCCCAATTATTTCTCACCTTGACTACTATAATAGCCTGTCCCCCATTTGCACTGCAGCCATCCTACACACTGCTGCCAGATTAATTTTCCTAAAGCACAATTCTAATCTTATCTATGCCTGCTTAAAAGCCTTCAACAAATCCCTGTTGTCAATTGACTTAGATATAGGCTCTTCACCCTGGCTTTTAAAGGCAGTCATAATGTGGTTTGGGTTACCTTTTCTGTCTTAATTTCCACAAGGTCCTTATATTCAAATTGTTTTACAGGCACAAAAAAAGAGGGAGTCATTTGGTTTTGCTCTCTGAAATGGCTTTGTGAAATTTCCCTATGAAAACGGCAGGGGATCCATGCACAGGAAAGGGAAAGTAGAACGTAGTGGAGGTTATTTTTCACATCCTGTTCAATGCGATCTTGCTGCTGAGCCCAATTTTTATGTGTCATTTATCATATTCTTCCTTATACTAGAGTCATCTAGTATCACAGAGTCATCTGTGTTCTTCCCTTCTGTAAAGTCCAGGAATGGACACAGTGCAGGTTTTCTAGGATCCCATGCAGACCGGGTAAAGGAGGAGTCAGAGTCCTCAGTGGCTTTGTGCAGGTCTTTATTGGGATTTACCCGGTACACAGCAGGCAGGGCTGCTGGGGGGCCGGGAGGCTGGCAGTCCTCCCAGCCCCCAGCAAGTCTTCACTCTATATCTGGGCTCTCTGGCCTTCTCTGCTTCTCTCTCGGCTTCTCTTTCGGCTTCTGCTGGCGTCCCCGTGACACCACCCTGGAAAGCACAGCCTTAGCCCAGGTGAATCCCATCTACCTATGCCCACACCCTACTCCAGGTGCCCGCCATCAGGCATGCATGCAGGACCGCAAGGATCCATCATCTATCCTGATGGCAGGAGGGCAGAAAAGCCTGACATTTTTCCTTACCCTACACCCTCTCTCTATGCTCTAGAGAGTGAATATAGCCTGAGGACAGGTCTATATGGTTCTCATCTTTGATCTGCTCCAGTGTCTGACTCTGCCTTACACATGGGGGCATTCAATACATTTTTTAAAAAAATTTCCTGTCTAGAGAATAGTATTAAAAAGAGGTATGGGGCCCTTAAGTAACTCTGCCTATCCCCACCACCTCCTAGCATGCCCTTACCACCTCCTATCAGGATACAAATGCTTTTATTTTTAAAATAGCATCTATGTATCCTTTACATAGTCATAATAATATTGTAAGTAATAGTATATTAACTATTTGTATGAATTGGATTATAAATAGCTAGAGAACAGGAATTTTACACAGTTCAATCTAGTGTGGTTGAAATGCTCAATTCAAGAATTTAATAAATCTTTTATAATAATTTTAATGATCAATTCATTTGCAGATGTTACTTTATAAATGATGGGTTCTTAAAGTAGGATGCAACCATATGAAAATTATGTATTTATAAATGCTATGTGTAAAAGTGTTCATTTTTCTCTGGGAAGAGGGTCCATATCTTTCATCAGATACCCATAGGGGTCTGTTACTCAGAAAAGAGTAAGAACATTCTTATGAATCAATACATCTATGAAAACATTTTTTACTTTGTCCCCATTCAGTAGTTGTTCCACAGATAAGCCTGCACAGATAAAATCATTTAGAATAATTCGCGATACTGTTCCAGACCTCCAATCTGTTTCCACTTACGCTAAGAGTCTTCCCTCTAACTAGACTGAACAACTTAATAATGTTAATCCCAGACATGGATATAAGGACCTCACCATCTGTCACCTAGATATTCCTTCCCCCTCCTTTTAGTACTTGGAGGCCTGTGCTGTTTTCACAGGGGCTTTTTACCCTGCCCCTCAATACTAAAATTCCTAAGTAACCCCTCCTTTCTCATGTCACCATTTCTAACTGAGCCCATATTTCTTATTAAGAATTTGTTTTAGGAAGAATATAAGCTGTTAACAAGGCCAATCTCACACACCAAATCTATTAGTTTTCCCAGGTGACCTTTTAGAAAGAGGGAGTAGAAAGTAAACTTTTACCTTTTTATTAAAAAATCTGCTTCTTGGTTAGTTTTCTTAAAAGCTCACCCTCTTGGGCCTCCCCTGGTGGCGCAGCCTTTGAGCGCTGGGTTGCAAGGCTGCCCGCAGGTTCTGCAGCGCCGGTTCATTCCCCGGCCGCCGGCAAGGGTCCCACACACACAAAAAAAGCTCACCCTCTCTGCTGATTATTAATGGTTTTTCTGTATCTTTGTCCTTTCTTTTCCCCATTGGGATTTCCACCCCCCTCCCAAGTGATTTAATTTAGTTAATGTTCTAATTGGTGCAACCTTACTACTGCAGATTTCCTGGGCTTTCCCATCAATGCTTTTCCATATGCTAAATAAACTCCCTTAACAAGTCTCTGAACACTCAAGAAAAATGAAGTTTATTACAATAGGATCTACTGCATTTCCCCATCTCCAGGTGTAACTGTTTTGGCTACCTTGGAGCCTCTTCAGCAAACAATTTCATCAACAGAGAATTAGGGCTGAGGTGTGGCATTAAAGCTGATGGCTGAACAGATTCATTTCCTAGTAGGTAATGTCCATATCATCACTGTAAGTAAAAATGTATTTTTATAGGCAAAGAAGATACCAATCTTTAGAACTTTTTTTATCTTAGATGTGTAATGTACTTTATTTTATTTTACTTTATATTATATATTTTTTACCTCATTTTTCATTTTTGTAGAATGTATGCATTTTCATTCCCCATACAATTCCCACACCCCCTTATTTTGACCATAATCCCTCCTCCTCTCCCCCCCGACCCCCATAGTGTATCTCTGGTTTA